CCCCTCCCGCTCCCCCCCCCAGGCTGGGAGCTTCCTCTCAGCAGCGCCCTGCTTCAGTCTCCCCTAGGCTGTAAGCTTCCTCTCAGCAGTGCTGTGCCCCCAGGCAGTGATTTTCCCCCCCGCAGTGCTCTGGCCCAGTGCCCTCTGGGCGGTGAGCTTCCCCAGCAGTGCCCTGCCTCAGCACCCCTGGGCAGTGAGCTTCCCCCAGCCATGCCCTGCCTGCTGTGCCATGAGTTCCCCCCAGTCCTCTGCTCCCCCGTGCCCCCTCCCAGCACCGCCCTGTCAGGACTCATCAGCTGCAAGAGTCTCCTGCCAGCTGTGCAGCTGCCCGCTTGGGGGCATGCGCAGGGAGCGGGGAGAGCCCCCAGGGATGCCTGCCATAAGGCACTTGCTGAATAAGTAACGAGCACCTGGGGGTAAGTGACGAGCACCCTAACCCTTCTTCCCAACCCTGGCATCCATGCGAGCATGACTGTGCCCCCCATCCCCACTTGTGTTCCCAGTGAAGATGCTCTGAAATGCCACCAGCTGTCCTGAGCTCCTGATCTCAGCCCTGGGTAAGCAGGGAGGACGGCTACGGAGATGCTCAGAGCCCAGAGATCAGGGATAATGGACTCTGTAGGGACTGTGAACCGTCCGCCTGCCCTGGGCGCCTCACTGGAGGCTGCAACCTGCTTCTAGGCACAGGTGGGCACAGACGGAGTGGTTATATCATGTTGCAAGCAACTTGGGGGGGCGATTACAGCCTTCCAGGCTGTCCCACCTCGGTGAAGTCCCAACGTAATCGGTGCAGGAGCGCACAGATGCAGCCTTAGAGCCGATGCAAGAGGCAGCCCTTTCTGTCCTCTTAACGGCCTGTTTGCCTGTAGCCTAATTAATCTGCATGAGTAGCTGGGATGGGCATTGGGGCCGGCTCTGGGCAGCTGCAGGGCAAACCCCTGAGCTCTTGGTTCTGCTCAGTGCTGAGCGGAGACCGCACCCCCCCACCTGCTAGCTGGGGTCTTCAGGGCAAATGATGCTCCATCTCAGACTGACCCCCCCAGCTCTTACCCTCTTCTATTGTGGTCATTATAGAGGCCCCCACATGCACCCACCCAGGACTCTGGGTCTCTGCTGCTTGGCCATGACCAGCCCTGGGGGGCTGTTTTCAGTCTAAGGGGCATAACCTCCCCTGGCACGGGTTCAGCTGGAAAGTGCTGGAGTCCAGCCTCCCAGGCCAAGGCTTGCTGATCCATCAACACTCAAGCAGCATCGGGAGGTCTCGGCAGGCCAGCGCCCGCCCCTCCTGCCGGGTGATGGAGGATGAGCAGCCAGGTGGAAGGGGAAAGCAGCTGGGCGGTGATGGATAGAGCTGTCAGGCTCCATCAGGCTTCCCACCTGGGCCCGTGCGGGGAGCAGAGGGCTGCCGGCTCTCTCCCAGCTGGCGGATCTGGATCCGCTTGATGCAAAGGGGATCAGGACGGATGATCTGAGATCGGCTTGATGCTGTCGCTGCTTGTTGCTTGTGCTAATGTTGGAGGAAGCCTTTCTGTTGTTTGTGGGGGAGCCGGGCCCCCGAGCTGAGTCTCTTCCCCGTGCATGGCACGATGAGCTCCTGGGGCTGAGATGCCCCGTGCCCACCCCTCCTGCCCCTTAGTGTTCCCCCGCTCTCTCCTTCCCGTTATCCCGACCTGCTCCCTCATTGCCCCTATGTGTGGGGCAGAGGTCCAGGTAACAAAGCCACATGTCCCTGATAAGGCTGAGACACCAGCACTGGCTGTCCCACTGTTGCTGGGTGCAGGCTACGACTGGAGCCTTAATTTTTCAGAAGGGGGAGATGAGTCGGGAGAGGAGGGGAAGGATTGCTGTTCTAGGGCGTTGGCCCTCTCTGCTCTGTTTCCGCTCCGTACTGTCTTCTTTGGCACGCACCCCTCTGCCACCCCATCGTGGCCTTTCCTGGTCTCCTATGTGCGCGGACACCTCCTGATAATGCCGGTTAGAGCAGAAAGCCACCCAGCCTCGAAGCATCCTGACTACCACCCCTCTCACTCACAAGGGTTAGACAAAGCCCCCCAAACCGACTGCACCTGTCCAGGCTGGAGCAGTGCTTTGTTCAGAAGAAGCCTCAGAAAGGGAGTGCAGTTGAGTGGTTAGTGCCCGGGGCTGGGATCAGGGCCTCCGGGTGCCTTTTCTCTGCCGGCACTGCCTCAGTGCGACCTTGGCCAAGCCGCTTCACCGCTCCGCGCCTTGAGATTGATGGCCTTGCTCCAGGAGTGATCCGTGCCAGTGACAAAAATAGCAAGATCTCCATTATTACATTTTAAAATATAATAAGGGCAGCTGAGTGACACCATGGAAGACCTAGCTCAGCTATCCACAGTTCCCCCCCACCTCCATCTCCCCCCAAAGGGCACTGCCTTCTCCCAAATGCTGCTCTGTGCCTGAGTGCATTGGGAGCAGGTTTATAGCTGGCGGCTGGGTTAAGAGAACAGCCACCGCTAACGGCAACCTGTCTGCACGCGAGACATCTGCTTGAGAGGAGGAGGAGGGTGCTGTGGCTTCCCCCCCGGTGCTGTGATGGGGACAGAGAGGCCATTTTGCGGGTGACAGGGAAGGAGGATGTGTTTGGCGTCTGGGGAACAGGTTGCGGGCATCCTGGTAGCAGCGCCTGTGCTGGGTGCGGGCCAGCCCAGCTTGGTTCATGCACTGAGCTCCCTGCAATAAAAGCGACAGCCTTAGCACGGTAACAGCTTGGATCTTTATTTTAATTTAAGCGCCCTGTATTCAGTGTTCCTGCTTCCAGCCAGGGGCTTTGTGGGCTCAGAGCGGTTGCAAAATTCCCCAGGCCCGTGGAGCTCCCTGGTGTCACCCTCCAAATCCTCCCCTCCAGCTCCGGGTGCAGGCGGCAGTGAACCTGCAGGTCCTTCCGCTGCACTGCCATCGCTCCCTGCGTGGTCCAGGGGATCCCATCAAACCACCTGCCTTAAATCCTTTTGCTTTTGGGAGGTTTGGGTTCATTTGTGTTGCATTTC